AGACGCACGAGTAGGGCGTATGAGCTCCACAGAAGCTCAGCTGGGTGGGACTTATGGGCTTAACCCCGAACGGACTTACAACGGCGAGCGTCTGCTGCAACTGTGTGCGGAGCACCACTTGTTTCTTAGTAGCACTGCTTTCAGATACAGTGGGCGCCGAAGTGCCACTTGGCGTCCTCCTGTAGCTGGCCAGCGATGGACCCAAATTGACCACATAGCCATAAGTTAACTGTGCGTGGTTCCATCCTTGATTGCCGCTCGTACTGGAATACCTGCGTCGACTCTGATCATGCCTTGGTACGCTGTCGTTTCTCCATAAACTTTACCGGGAGGAGCACCAAGCGTCCCCTCTTATTGGCAACGGAGAAATTGTCTCAGTCATCGGTCAGGCAAGTCTATCCTGACGCACTGCATACCTTACTTTCGCTGTCTTCTCCTAATGACACTGAGCTTCAGTAGAATAGGATCTCGGTCGCCATGCACGACGCAGGAGCATCTGCTTGTGGCATTATCAATCGTCACCGCACCAGTCACTGGATGTCCGAGAGGTCGGTGAACATGTTGGAATCCAGAAGAAATTCCCCGGCTGACTCTGTGAACAATGTGACCGGACTGACTATTAGGCGCGAACGAAAGCGGAGCCTACGTGCTAACAAGGAAGCCTTGTGGACCAGTCGGGCTCACGAAATGGAGGAGGCAGGAGCAGTAGGCAATTATGGTAAGCTCTTCCAGTTGATCCGCACCACCGCTCCCAGGAAATTAGATTTCAGTGAGACAAACAACGACAGCGCGGGTGCGCTGATACACAATAAGGAGTGCCGTATAACTCGTTCGGCGGGACACTTTTAATCTCAGTTCAGCTGGCTCCCTGCTGCCGGACCTCTTCCTACTCAGATGATGCGGGACGAGCCATGGACGGTTAGTTTCGAACCTCCGTCGGAGGCCGAGATCCGAACGCGATCACAGCCCTCCATCGTTTTTGTGCCCTTGGCCCGGATTCCCACCTGCATTATTTAAGGATGGAGGTGAAGTCCTCTGTAAAACACTGACCTCTCTGTTCGAAGGTACCTGGTAGGAAGAGTCCGGGCTAACTGGAGTGAATCGCTTATATTGGCAATATACAGGAAGGACAGTCGCACAGACTGAGCTAACCACAGGGGTATTAGCCCTACGCCAGTTGTGACAAAATTACTTGTTTGGATTCTTGTTCGTTGCTTCACCGTGGAACGGGGATGTCGGATTAGGGAAGAGCAGGCAGAGATAGGGTCCAGAGAGCGAGGACCTTGAGCACAGAGTTGTAACTCCATCCTTTCATATGTTGTGTGGGCATGCAGCCTCCCGGTTGCCCAGGCCAAAGAAGGGAGTTGAATTAGGGGACTCCACTCGGAATCTTCAGTCATAAGGACCTGACCTGCAAGGCCTCCCAGGCGAATCCAGGGTATTACATCCATTGGGAGCCGGTGACCGATACTCGGTTCGTATGTTTTTCGTTCGGCGGGCTGCCAAGCAGGGCCCAATACTCCCAGCAATTCAGCGTCCAGCTGAAAGATTACAATGCTCCAGTGAGGCGAAGCAAGGGCAGTGACTATTTAGTGGCGAGTCACATCCGCCACATCGCAGTGTTGTTGAGCAGACATTTGTGATTTTTATAGGGAGAACGCTTCACAGGCGAAAATTCACCACCTGGGACACTGCCACCGAACCATTCACTGGAACGGGATAATCTCGGATCATCGAGCTGACATCACGAGAAGGTTGTTCGACAAGCCATCCAGTAAGTTTGTAAGTCTATTTAAATGCCTGCACGATGTATGCGGGCTTGAGGGCAGCTATATGGCCAACCCCGGGTGACTTTGATGTTGTCTGTGATGTGTAGCGAAGCTGTGTCTTAGCCCTTATCCTGTTTTCTATTTACTTGGATGCTTTGATGTCTTGTCTTGATGTTTGTGCTTACAGGGTCCGTGTGGAGCACCGTATTGATGGTGGGTTGCAGAACATTTGTCGTTTCGGAGCGTGAACCCGAGCGTGTGTGACAACCATCCAGGTGTTATGGTTTACCGACGAATGAGCATTGTTTGCACACGGCGAGGGTAAGTTGCAACGCATAGCGATGGCTCTCGCTTCGACAGCAGAAGAATGCGGACTAACCAGCAACACAAGCGAGACTTTCTTTTTCATCAGTTACCAGGGATTGAATGCATGGGCATGCTGCAAATCCAGATTGTTGCTGAAGTTTTGGAGAGCATATCGGAATTTTGCTGCCTCAAGAGCACACTCACTACCGACCTCTAGTTGACGTGCGAGCTACACATGCGCGTACCGAAGGTGGCCACTGCTTTTGACAAGCTGAAACGTCAGGTGTGAAAGAATTGCCAACTAACCGTTGGGACGAAGCTAACGGTATACAAGTCGATGGTGTTGTCGATTATCCTGTACGGTATTGAAACGTGGACGCTGTATCGGTAGGATATCCGTTATCCGCTATCATCAACAGTGCCTGCGTCGGATCCTGCGCATCAGTTGATGTGGAGGTGTTGCCGATAAGGAAGTGCTCCGTCCAAGTGGCATGTATGGAGCAAACTGTATAATTCTGCTGCAAAACCGCACGATGCTCGTACATATCCACTGTATTGATTCGACGAGGATACGGAAACAGCTGCTATATGGCCAACCTCCGCACCGTGCCCAAGTTAGGGTTCTTTGCTATTTACATTGGGAAGTTCTAGTCTCAGTAGACTGGGATTAAATCGCAACGCTTTGCGTAACAGCCTAAACATGATTAGTTCAGGGGCTTGAAAAAGACCTATTGTTATGGATAGATTATTTCACTGGTTAAGTAGTTTAACTTGACGTCCATACCTATATGAAATATGGCTTTGTTCTTGGTGCATTTATATTGCGGAAGTCGCTTTCCATCATGCTTTTTTTCCGACATGACCGCCTTCCTTAAGACAGTGATCTTTTGCTATCCACCATCCATACCTCTCTCTGCGAATGCACTTCCGTTCATACTCACGCTTGGTGGTTGATGTGGTACTGCTCCCATACATTGGTGCATATCCACTCTTGTTGACACTACCGATGCTCCTGCCACTATCACTGCTATCGATGCTGATGGAATATTCAAGCACTTGGTGGTCGACCCTGACCGTGTCATTCTGATGACATCGGCAGATGGATATTGTGTGCCACCGCCATCTGCACTAAATGTTTGCGTGTCAGCACGGTGCCTGCTGAACCATATGTACTATCTTCCTCCTTGCTGTATCACTGAAGTTGATATGTTGGCAAGTAAACGTAAATTGCCTTATGACCGGTATTTCTGTTGCTTGAATCCCTGTCCCATTTTTTCTAAGGAAACTTCCATTAAATGCCAGTTTATTTGGTTTAATATAATTTTTGTGTCAGAAGCGAGACTGTCTGTAGAGACTCCGGCGAATCGTTTTGAAACGTTTCTGAAATCGGAAAGCCAAAGGCGCTTTCCCCTGCGATGCAGGTAGTATTTAGTTCGACCATGGAAATGCCTCGCTCAATTGTATTGAAGGATTATTTATGTCGAGTAGGCTTGATATGGTTACTTGTGATTTATCCCTTCAGCGACAAGCATCACCCAAATCGTGATCCTGTCGATTGCCCAGAATGCTTTATGTGTTCTGGTAATTAAGTCAGCTTAATTGCCTATATCTTGTACACGCGTTATCCGTGTGTACTATGCATGATTGCACTGTTTTTTTGCACTGCAACGGTTAGCACGGGGTTTGCATAAACGTACCGTTTGTGGCTTAGACAAGAGTTCCTTGTAAATCCTCCCTTACGACCCTAGGAATCTTTCATTAGAGTTTTGGTGTAACGAGAAATCTTTCTGTCGCAATTGACAGTAGCCAATACAGCATTGGACGCACATTCGTGTCGGGGGAAACCATTTGGTTTGAAGCCATCAGCATACTTTAGTTGTATCGACTTTGGAGCTGTAGTTCCCCATTCGCAGTTAGTACAAATGTCGTCACCGAGGTCAGAAATGTTCTTCCGTTGTAATTCTTCGATGATAGGCAAGTCGTATGCTTATTGCTTGTGCGATATGCACCACCCATGTAGCTCATCTTGGTCGGTGTTTTGTTTTCGATTGACAGTCCATCGTGGCTTTTATGCCTCCAACTACCTATTTTATACCAGTGTTGGGGTCTGCGAGGTGGCGATTGTTATTGGAATTGGTCTTCTTTCGCCTCAGTACACTTCTCGGTAGCTGCACACTTCGAACCGAAGGGAGGCATTGGTTTCGACCTGGAAAAGGCTCGTTGTATATAGTATAGTAGAACGATATAGCACCCAACATTTATGCGGCTGAGTTATACTGCCGCTTTGCCCATCCCCAGATTGGCATTGCAAACTCCATCCGGAACTGTTGATAAATATTTTATCTACGAGACCACTCTGTGTCTGCTTAAGACCGGTCGCACACAGTCTTAATATATTTCAAGTAAGCCTTGCAGCCGCTTTTGGTAGTGCTCTCACGACGTACGTTGTTGACTGCCCCCATTTGACCTTGGATGAGGGTTGAAGTATCAATGATACTTAGGCGCGTTCACTTGTTATGCTAACTGCCCCTTTTTATCTCTTGTAACTTCTAGATCATACTGACCACTTTTGTTTTTCACTCCACGTTTTTGAGAAAGGGTAAGTAGATCAATAACATGCATATAACGACAGCAACTTCTGAATTTACCGTTTTGTACTTATTGCTATTGTTAATCCTTTTCTGCCACAGCCGTTAACACGTCGTATTTTGTATTCTACCGCGTCTGATTTTCGTATGATGTGCCCAGTTATGCATGCCCTGACTCAGTTCACACTCCGTGCATCAATTAAAGAACAATATACTTAATACAAGTTCTGGGTAGCTTCGAAAATTCAGTTAAATTGGTTGCGAAATTTTTCAGACAAAAATTCCTCTATGTACTCTGCTGTTGTAGCCACCTGCCTCAAATCATTTTTACTTTTAGCTTTCCTTACAAACGAGATTTTGGCGGCTGCACAATTGGGTGGTCAATTGACACCAGCCCAGCTCAACGCTCTGGTTGCCGCCTACAGTCAACATCAGCAACAGACTCACCCCTCCAACATCGGTCCAAACGTCGCACATAACCCAGCTATTCAGTTTTCTCAGGCGCTTTCCTCTACCGCATCGGCTTCTAAGTCTTTATCTTCGCCCACTCCGTTGAGACCGGGTGGCACAGGTTCCCCACTCACTGGACTTCACGTTAGTCACTCCGGTTCTTCTCATCTTACTCATTCTGCTATCCCGTCCACTCAGTTCACTCTCCACCAGAAACGACCGGCTAGTAGGCAAAACCCGTTCCCGGTTGTCCACGTATCTCACGTAACCACCAGTGCGGTCGGAAGTAAGTTCTGCTCTTTTCCTGTATTGACTTTGCAAGCTTTCCTCACTGAAAAGCTGTCATATGTTACTGCCTGTGTTTTCAGGGTAGAAGCCACGTGCAGTTCGTTTGCGTCTGATTCGAACTGTTGCTAACTCTTCGTTCTCACCGTTTTCTTTTTCTTCGTTATACAGTTGGCTGCAAACGTGTAGAGTTGAGCATCTTTGTAACAGTAGAGCGATAAAGCTACTTCCATGCATAGTGGACCCATTGATAGCTGGGGTACACCCATCGATTCCTGACTTTTACCTCACTTTATTAGCGTATCCACTATTCTATCTCCTAACGTTTCATAAGTCATGTTGAAGCAACTTAGTTCCGGTAACTTCTTTTCGCTACGCAATTTCATTGGTTTCTGGCATATGGGAAGTGTGCAGCACTCCTAGTATGTTTGCTTTTGAGTAAACACTATTCCTATCCGTTTTTTCCACAGACCGTCCACCCTCGGCTTCTCAACTTGCATCCCCCCATTCGGGTCAGCAGCAACTGCGTGCTCCTCCTCAAGGTCATTCTAGCTTACCTCACGCGCATCACTCTGGACATCACAGCTCCTCGCGTCATTTATGCGAACCCGGCCACTCAGATCAATCTGCTGTGTCACTGACTCATTTGAACCCTGCATCTCAGATTCCGTCGAGGCATCCCGGTGCATCTACCCCTGCTGCCTCACCTTCGGCTAGCCCCGTCCTTCCCAGTTACCAGGTATCAGTAGCTCCTATACCGAGCCGCTTGCTTTTCCCCATGTGTATCGTTTAATTATGTGATTCAACAGCCATACGATGTAATGAACCCATTTCACTTTTCACTTGTTGAGTTGCTGACTGCGCTTAGCAGTTGTTTTGTAAGCCTTTCACCATCAACCGAAGTGTTATTGTCAGCGCACAAAAGCCAGAAGTTTCCTTGCGAATATCGGACTGAACAGATCACGATCATTTTACTCAGGTTAGCGGGTAATTCAGTAACTGAACAGCCACCTCAAGCTACCAGTACTTCTAGTTGTCTCGATAAGGCCTTATTCACCGTTTTTCTTCTGCCCTATAACTTCCAACGGTTCACACATTCTGACGGCCGTCACACTTTTTTGGCATCCGAAATGCGGTCGTGGATCAAATCGCTGCCTTGAGGCATCTGTTGGGGCCTAATGAACGTAGCCGGCGTGGGTCTGTGGTCATAAATATTTTGCACAAACAGAAAATATGCACGAGGCTGTTCACCTTACGCCCCTATTTCTTCGTTTATTAAATAGCTGTCCGTTCAGCACTTTCACCTCAGCCACTGTCTGTGTTCCATTCCATTTTCAACCGGGTTCCGGTCAGTGTCTATAAGTCGCCGGATGTTACTCGGTAGCATCGACTACGAGTGATGTTTAAAAAAGATTTTCCCTGGCCTACTTCCAGAAGTCTTGGAGAGTTGAAATATGTGCTTGGCGGCATCCGGTTCCGGGTTTGCCTGTCACTGTGGTTTCTAGAGCACAGTCACAGGACACCTGCGCCTACAGAAGGACCATGGGTGACTTCCGTCGCACCACCCACAGCTTCATCCACACACTCCATCTCCAGTCTAAACCAGAAGGAATAAGACCGGGAGGCGTGTGGATGAGAGCCACGTTTCATCAACGGAGCCGGCTCACACTCCTTCACAAGCAAACACAAGCACGCTGTATTTTGGAAATCCAGCGCACACAAGACGGTGGATGGAACGTAGTTCGCTCCAAACTGAGTGCATGGAACCACTCTTCGAGCCTAGCACGATCACGAGGACCGTGCATTCCTCCCCCTCAGTACCCATTCACAGTCTCCTGGATCTATACCATTTTACATGCATGTTAGCGCATTGTACCAAGCTTTTAGCGTGACACATTTTCGAAATCGCGTGCAGTGCTTTCAAGTTAGCGAGGCTAAGAACGCTGTTTTGGCGTCTTGACACTCTCATTGGTTATAGGACGTTAGCCAATGGGACACCGGTTGGAAGCCCCGAGCATAAGCGACAGACAATCCAATGAAAGTGGTCGAACACCACCTTCTGTGCTGTCTTGATGCCCATATGAAGTAAATCTCGATGAATGGTTTGCAAAGTGAGGCCGTCCAATGGGCAACTTGTGATGCCAATCTAAGGAGGACATTCTAGCTACCACATCAACTGAAGCTTACGCCGTAACCAGTGCGGACAGACATACTAACCAGCACATCAAGCGGTCTATACTTAGTGTAAGCTAGCGGCTACGTGACGGTGGCTTATCCAGCGGCCTAACCATGGTGGCGTAGACAGGCAATCTTCTAGCTGATATTCCGCAGTCGCTGAGATCTGAGGGAGTGAGGCAGGCCCGCATTTGCTGTTGGTCAGGAAAGCGCCTTGGCTTGGATACTGCGCACCTAAACCTGAATCAGCAATGGCACCTCTGCAACCCGCCTAGCGGTGGTTTTACATATCATGACATTTTGGAAGGAAAGTTAGCCAATGGCATCACAGCCACCGTCTGTAGGCAAATAGCAAGGGTAAGCCTATGAAGTGAATTTAAGCGATGAAGGAATGTGCTATATAAATTGCAATGCGCAATATTTATAGGGAACGTCGTGATGGCACCTCGGTTTCTTTGGTTTGCGGTGGACTACTGCGCAGCTAAGATGTCTGTGTTCGGACGTGGATCTAGCATAGACCGTATTAAACGAAGAGGACCGTACGCGCGACAGTCGCCTGAGGTGTGGGGACGAATTTTGAGTGCCTATGAGCAAGGGGAGGATTGGATGAATGTTACTTCGTTGCTGAATGTGAAAGTGAGCACGTGCCATAGTTGGATACGGATGTTAGAATCGGTGGAACGGAGGGGGCAACACGGTGGGGCTCGCCGCAGGTCCCTGACAGAAAGTCACATCGATGCTCTGATCGAGTAGGTATCGGAAGAACCGACTGTTACCTTACCAACTCTCCGTTTGCGCTTGAAGCCTGAATTCGATGTTGAAGTTAGCATCACTACAGTTTCTAGATACCTTGACGGTTGTCTTATTACACTAAAGAAGTTGCACACGGTCCCGGAATCCATGAACACTTTTGCGAACAAAGTGCGACAGAGACTGTATGTGTTGCGGCTGCTACAGTAGCAGGCAGAAGGGAGACAGCCCGTCTGGATTGATGAGATCAATTTCAATCTATTTTGTAGTCGCACCAGGGGTCGTTCACGGAGGGGAACTCGAGCACAGTGCACGGTGGCGAACCGCAGCGGGCAGAATGTGCACATTGTGGGCGCATTGACGAGCGAAGGACTGATAGCCTTTTCCGTTTTAAGAGGCAGCTTCAACAAGCGGCGATGCGCGCAGTGGGTTCGGGAACTTCTGGATTTCCAGGGAGCCGCTTTTATTGATCGGTATCTTCTGATTTGTGACAACGGACCCTGCCACACAGATGTGCAGGAGGTTTTCAAGCAGGAAGGGTATCGAGCAGGAATGCTACTACGATTAGCGCCGTACTCTCCTTCGCTAAACCCTATCGAAGGCGTGTGGAGTGTTGTAAAGACGTATGTGAAGGACACCATGAGGAGGAGCTATGCGGAAATGCTTAGAAGGGATCCAGAAGGGGTTCTTTGCACTGGCGAGTAACGTACACGCTTTCACAAGCAGGTGTTGCTTGCAGCGAGAAATTGCGTTGCGCGGCACCACTGCGAGCAGATGGTGAGACATGTTGCGAAGAATTACGGACGGGTGATTTATTTTGCCGATTTATAGAATGCAGCCGTTTAGATAAAACACTTGTGTACATAACGTTACTCTTTTTCTCGATAAACAGGAGGGGATAAATTGCGTTACATGGTCTGCAGCATATGTAGAGCACTTTAGTAGCCACATACATTTTGTCACCGTTGTTACTGTTTTTGGTTGCTTGCGCTCCTAGAACTTTGGGAAGCGGATGGTTAAGAGCGGGTGAGTGAACGGTGTTGCAAACGGCGCATGTCTATTCGTGCGAAGTCGCGTAGGCCGCACTACGACGCTAAAGGTTGCGTGCCAAGGATTTGTGCGGAGGCCCAGAGGTGATGTAACGCAATTTCGTTAATGCCTTCGTCAAGCTACAGTGCCGGACAAGCAATGCTTAGTCGACGACCTCATTCCAAAAATTGCAGTTGATTGCAGTGGGGAATAGGAAAACTGTTGCGAACGAGACTAGATAAGCATAGGACTTGCGTACAAATGGAAAATTTGCAGCCGTTCAAGTTGCAGAGCCCGCCTGTTGTGATCTTCCAGTGCGTTGTACGCTGAACTGCACCGTGTACCTATTTATCGCTAATGTAGTGGTTGCGTTGGGTGCTGATTGCAAATCCCCTGGTTGGATAAGAGCGTCATTGGATTTTAGGACATTGTTTAAAGTAGAAGGATTCCAAGTGTCGCGGTGACACGACGTTAGTAAGTGTTCGTTTGTCTCCACACCCATGGGCGACTTTGTTAATCAGTTATCGCTTCAATGTATTCATAGGATAATTAGGCTTTAATTCCATATGGTCGCCCACAGGTGTCGAAACGCTTTGACAAGTGGCTCTCCAAATGACACCATTAGAAGCACAGTCAATGCAGATAAAATCTCCCTGTAACGTGCATGGACTGGAATGCTATCCTCATGCAATCGGCGTTACTCAACAAAGAAACACCTAAAGGGACTACAGTGACTACCGTAGTAATACATGCCACATCGTCCTGCTAGAAAAACAACGCAAGGCTGATAATTAGTGGCGACGCACGCATTTAACTCTGATAATTCAGGTGAGTACTTGGAACAGACAAACACTGTTGTCTCACCCACGGACGTTCCTACAACGTGTTTGCAATCATTTACAAAGGCAACCGCGTCCACCAATCCTGCTATGGACCACTGTTTCAGCTAGTCATAGAAGCAGTCATGTGTACACGCCGTGACACACGTTGTCATCGACTTGGCAATTACTCGGAAACATTTTGTCACTGGAAAGTAGGTAATTCCGGAGGCATTGTTGAAGGAGGAAAATTGCTCTAAACCCTATACTTACAGTGCAGTGCTTTTCGGCAGGTCCTATCAAGGCCGTACGGTCACCTGGCATTTCAAGCTCATCAGTTATTTGGAAGTGAAGTGTAAATATCATGTTGAAACGCAGGATTGACATGCATCTTATGACCTTTAAATAACGGCAAATTCATGGGTACTGAAGCAGTAACTGATTACCGAAGTGGCCCACAGGTGTGGAGACAAACTAACACTAATGTCGTGTCACCGCCACACTAGGAACCGTCCTCTTTGGAACAATGGATACAGATCTACTGATGGTCTTACCTACCTAGCGAACTTGACCTTAGTATACAACTCGCCGACTACCTCAGCAGTACGTAGCTACACTATACACATGAGTGTGAAACAACACAGCACAGGAATTTTGCAGCCGTAAAGGCTTTAAAATTTCTATTTGCGAACAAGTCCTAGAATTACCTCCTTCATTCGAAGTACTGTATTGTCTCTGATCAGCTCACAGTGCCTTAACAATCACACGCATTTCCTAAACGAAATCTCACACTTTTCGATTCTCCAGATTGCTCGCAGTGGCACGATTACACCTTGCATACTGTCTCAGGGGTGGCCAGATAGGCAAGCGAGCAAGGAAGACAATCGTGCAGTCCACCCGTAAGCCTTCAACGGTTCCCTTCCAACAGCCTGCGAGGGTTGCAGCCTCAAGACAATCAACCAATCCG